ATTAATCTCAGACAGTTAATGTTAATTTTAACATTTACTAATACGTTATTAAAATCAAAAGTTGTATCTGTTAATATTATTTAATGGACCAGAGCTCACATTAATTAACAATGAAAATGTTTTAATTTTATTAGCTAATGTTAACAAAGATGAAAAAATACTGTAACAAATGTGTTGCATATCGTTAGCTAATGATAAAAGGATATATTTCACCTTAAAAATGAAAATTATGTCATTTACTCACCCACAAGTTGTTTTAAACCAGTATTTATGTGTGAAAAAAATATTTTGAAGAATGTGGGTATAGGTCTAAAAAAATTCTATAAGTCTAAAAAAAAAAATTCTGAATAAAATAAATAAATAAATAAAACACTAAAATCAATCGTTTTAAATTGTATTGAGCCATTACAACGTATAATAAAGGCCTGGTTTCACAGACAGGGCTTAGACTAAGCCAGTATTAGGCCATAGTTCAATTAGGACATTTAAGTAATTTTTCATAAACATGCATCTTGAGACAAAACAAAGGCACTGATATATTTTATGAGCAGTCAGTGCAAGTTTCTTTCAGTTGACACAGCTCAGACTTACATTTTAGTCTGGGACTAGGCTTAAAGGTGCTGTATGTAAGTTTTTGACTCTACTAAAGCATAAAAATACCATAATATGTTTGCAGATATTTAAGAAACATGCTAAGTTAACATAGTTGTTTATTTGAAAAACAATGCTACAGTCAGTTATTCTCCTGTGAAAATGTGCGTTCCGGGCCTGAATGTCTGTCTCTGTTTTGGTTTGTGAAACCCGCCCACTGCCAGTTTACCCAATTGTATTTCGGCACCCCGGGTTGCCAGTTGGCGGAAAACACAGCATATTTAATTTCATTCATCGTCAAGTGCGCTCGTTCCTGTTGGTGTCGTTAATCTGGCAACCTGCCTGTGCGTCAAGTCTGAGGAGGAGGGGCCGGGTGAAAAAAACCCACTCCAATATTTTGAATTTGGACTGCAATACCTAGTTCAACCACTCGGTGTCAATCCTACATACAGCACCTTTAAGCCTTGTCTGTGAAACCTGGGGATAGAGTATTAAAAATGGATATTCAATTTGAGATTTGAAAAAGATTACACTTAACAGTGTTATTAAATTAGAGTTTTTAAAACTTTAGGTGAGTGTAAAAATAGGCTAAATTAGCATACACTATTAAATATCCAATTTGGACTGATACAATAAGTAAAAAAAAAAAAACTATAATATTGCCAGATAACTGATATGATACTGATATGATGCATCCCTAAATGTACTAACTGCTGTGTAACATATAAGCAAAATGCCATAATGACTCGATAAACACCTAATATCCATTCTAAGACCCAAAGCAAAGCAAATTTTCCTTGCAGCACCACAGAATTATTACTTGGTGCAAACATTTAATTTTTGAGACAGCTACTTAGAGGAAACACTGGCTCTGTATAGTGCAGAATCATTGAGCTTATATTTCCACACTGCTTAAGTACTCTTCTGGCTCGGAAACAACATTCCTTGTCCATAACTTAGGAATGATGGGCCAAGGACTGACTGAATGCAGTATATTCTACAAAACATTGGCTTGCATTTAACTAGAATTAGATTTTTTTGGGGGGGATGCGCAAATCAGTCTACGGCACATAGTTTCCCTAGTGAATCAATAAACGTGAAACCTCAGATGCTGATTACAACTTCCATCAGCTCTGCCTTAGAAACCCAGTGTTTGGCTGCTGCTCAAACTAGAGTCCCACACTCTCCGAGTAAAAACTGGGATTTTTTATAACTGGTATTTGGTAGCTCGAGTGCGGATGGACGTTTGGTAACCCTCATCAACAGATTAGTAGACAAGCCTTTACATTAATCAAACCAGGCCAGCCGTCAGTGAGCTCTGGAGTATATCATTATTAAAGTCTAAACAGGACTAGGAAGAGACCCCCCAGTCCCCCATTGGATATAAATCAGAATGAAACTAGCAGTGAGCGCTTTGCCGAAGGTCTCATCTGCTCTGGACAATTCACCAATAAAAACTGGTGATATATTGCACGAGTGAAAACATGGTGCTGAGAGCAGTTAGCCATTACAGTTTCTTGATAGAACAATTCATTATGAAGTTGAACACATTAAGTGGTGTAGATTAGAATGGGTCTTCGTCTACATATTTTTATGTTTAAAAAAAAAAAAGTCATGTGGCTGAATAAGAAGGAATTATAATCGCATATATATAATCATAGCATATCAAATGTTGCTCTCTATAATTCTGAACTGCTGGATTCACAGTCTGTCATCACATTTCTGCCTACACTCTAAAAAATGCTGGGTTAAATACAACCCAGTGCTGGGTAAAATAGGGACAAACCCAGCAATTGGGTTGTTTTGACCCAGCGGTTGGGTTAAATGTTTAACCCAACCTTCTGAGTAGTAACCCAACCGCTGGGTCAAAACAACCCAATTGCTGGGTTTGTCCCTATTTTACCCAGCA